ATAATATATTATAATATATATATCGACATATATTTATATATTAATATATATATATATATATATTATAATATGTATATCGACTTATTTTAATATATTAATATATATATATATTATACTATATACATGTATATATATATATATATATGATACTTATATATTCAAATGCTCGTATTGGTAAAACAGATAGCTTATTCTAAGCTTGTATGCGTGTAGCAAAGTAATCACACGGGGAATAATAGTATAGTGAAGCCTCACTGCACAGAAAAGCAGCCAAAAAATCACATTAATATGTAAAACTCCCTTCCGCTTAAAACCGGCACTGCATAGTTTACGGCGCGCTAAACCCCTAAAACCTTGCCAGTCGTAATGTTTAGGGTTTTAGAACCCCTAAACCAACACCCTACAACTCTCATATCATACGTTGTAGTACAGTCGATAGCGTTAAGGCGCACATAGCTCAAAGGAGGTAAAGACTTCAGACACACTGCACACTACCACAGCTGACCTTGCCCGTCGTAAGGTTTAGGGTTTTAGAACCCCTAAACCACCACCCTACAGCTCTCATAACATACGTTGTACTACAGTCGATGGCGTTAAGGCGCACAAGCGCACCAGCATCAGATGGGCGTAGATTTTGATATCGTAGTGATCGCCCAGGCCAGCACTCACTAGAGGGGACAGTAGATGGTGTGGTGTTATCGTGAGATAGAGGTATACTAGAGGGCAAACAGTTTAAATCGAACTCGCAATCAGTTTAAAACCGGTTCACAACCAGTTTAAACGCAGCCCGCAACCAGGAGAACGAGCCAGCCTTACCTTGGTTAATGAATGGCTCCATGTCGGTTTTGGTCACACACCAATCCAGAAGCGTGTACATGCACTCAAACGCTGCCTGAAATGGGTGCAGTAGAGATGTATGACATGACAAACATGAGAAGAGACGTTGAGTATATACCCAAGTTCCTTACCGACTGGTTACTGGTTGGTGATGTGGTAGGTATAGGTTGCAATAGAAGGCTTAACACGGTATGCAACCAATAAGCACAGACGCGTATACCAATATATACTACACATAGGTATATCATTTTGTACATATATGCACATAGGTATGCCAGTATATACACGCAAATATATCATTATATACATATATACACATAGGTATGCCAATATACACACAAAATTATTAATATGTACATATGTATACACATAGAAATATACATTACACGAACTAGTCAAG